AAATAAAAAGACGTTCCAATTCCAAACCACGTGTCTTAAACTAAACTCGTAGAAAACGTGTGATATGATCGACAAATGCATTACACTAGGAACATTTTATTCATACGAAACTGTATTCATTGATTTTAGTTGCATTTTAAAATATACTCATATTATAATAATGTTACGTTTTATTATTATCCAATTCACCAAAAAAAAAAAACTTAAACGAAACGGAACGTGTTTGACACTTTTGACAGCGTGTTTTTGTTAACCTTGCTAATGATACTGGAGTAACTGTTTTGCGTTTTGGATTTATTTTGTGGATTACGATGAGGTGCATCAACTGCGGAATAGGCGTACAAAGGCTGCAGAGGCGTCTTATATCCTCGCTTTCTGCACACCATCAAACAAAACTTTCACGTTGGTTAACCAGCTCAAACCCAGGTATGAAGTCGGAATAGTATAATACTTAGTCTGTTTTTTTATGTTTTATCATGGTATGCGATTTTAAATAGTGCATCTTTTTTTTAGGTGCCTCTGGGGACATTCATTTGTCAACCACACTTCTTATTATTGAATACTGAGGCTGGTGAACATGAGAGACTACTGGGGCTTATCATGGCTGGCCTTGGTTGTGGAAAATCGGTTCAAAAATAAGACACCATAATGTCAGTATGGACTCTCCATTGCTAGCTGGCCTAATATCACAAAATACTATTAATGTGGTAAGCATTTTGTTTTTTATTCATTGTTTTATATATGTACTTGTATTTATCTATATTAATCTATAAAAAAAGTACTCATAGTAGGTATGTGTGATTATAATATCTATCTTTATGTATTTTCCATGTTTGCATAGACTTCTTTAAAATAGGCATGTTGTAACATAATACTTCTCACTGTACAATAACATAAAACTTGAAAACATGTGTTTATTCTAACTGGGGTTTATTTTCAGACCTCAAGAAGCAACCATGTTTGTCATGTGTGCTGTATGCGGGCAAATAGACATACAGGGCAGGACTTATCACGAAACTTGCAGGAATTGGGTTCGGACAACAATGCAGTAGCCCCTTATATTCAAGTGGTTAGCCCTCCAGAGCCACCACCATTACCACCTGTTTTAAGCAGGCAGCTTCAAATGGAAAGTACTACCATATTATTACATAATTATACAGAATATATATTAAAGAAACGTACATTCCATACACAAACATAATAAAATACACTTTATAAAAAAAAAAGTGAATTATTACGTAGATTTATTTTGTTTGTTCTCCTTAATAAATAAATCATTATTCTTTATACATATTCTTTTGTTTTATTTTATAAATAAATAAATAAATAATTAAAACGTTTTTTAAAAGCAAAATCTTATTTCGTGCACTTATGACCAGTAATCTGACTAAAGGTTTAGTGAAACTATTTTCGTCTTGTTTGTTATAATTACGAGTTCTTCATGTGTTTTATTTTTTGCAATTTAATTTAATAATATTCACGAATGTAAACACCAAAAATCATTGATGTACATTGAATTCAATAACTATGCAAACGCCCATACAAAAGTTGGCCATGTCCTTGAGATTTCTGTGACAAACTTATTACAAGTGAACATTTTCTGAATGTGCTACAATACCAAAAATAAAAAGATCAGGATTGTGAGGTTTTTTTAAAGTGTAACTTCTTTATTGAATGATTTCCCATTTCACCCTAAATGGGGCGAGAGTGAGAGTGTCTGCCTCTTACTGACCGAAAACTTTCCCGTTCCTTCTTCTGCTCCGTTCTGCGTAGCTGTCTCACGGACACGGCAACAGCCGGGGTTGCGGGGTAAGCGCAATGGGGCACCGCGACTCCGGTCCAGAGCAGGAGAAGAAACAGGGGGGTTTTAGTGAGTAAGAGTCTGACACTCCATTGGGCGGGAGAAGTCATTTGATGATTTTCCCCTCACAAAAAAACGGAGACGGCAAAACAACACGTATTTGTCATTATCCCTCCAATTGTCGCGGAGTTTTATGAAGTAACTAAGGAAGTACAGACAGACTAGCACAGACGCTACCGGCTGTCAGAAGCGGTCTCTGATAAATCTCACGTAACATCTGTAAGGTGTTTATAATCTTAAAATTAGCTTTTCAAATATAAAACAACACAAATAAACAACAAAAATGTATATACGACAATGAAGACTGATTCTGTAAGTAACAATCAAATGTAACAGAAAACCATATAACTTGGAGTAGCACAGTTTATCTTTTTGTCTGCTGACCCGACCAATTGTAACAAAAACCATATAATTTGGAGTAGCACAGTTTAGTACTAGTTATACTGTACTATGTCACTTTTAATTTTTAACCGACTTCAAAAAAAAAGGAGTAGTTTCTCAATTCGATTGTATGTTTTTTCTAAACTGCTTACCAAATAGCTATCCTGGCCATACATAAGAATATTATTATTATGTAGCTTCTTGACTGACACTTTGTATCTTTAAAGTTGTGTTGACGTTCAAAAGTGCCTGTATGGGTCTAATTGAAATAAATAATTTTGACTTTGACTTTGACTTTTGACTTTTGACTTTGACTTTGACTTTGAATTTACATATGTTTTTAAAGAAGCATAATTGTTATATTGTTGGTAGAATCTCAAACAGACTCAGTGTATCTACACTAAGACAACCAAATGTTAGTTCCACATCAAAAGATGTCAACGGATGAATATTAAAAAGTAGCTGCATATAAAATATTGATGTTACATCGACATGTGGCATATTTGCATGCTATACGCACGTGATCTCTCCAGGGACCAGGGGAAAAGGGGCATGTGCACAAACGTGAGCTCTCTTTACTACTTTTTAAGGGTGAAAATCGATTTTTGTGTACTTTGTTGATAGGTTGGTAAGAGCTTTACTACTAAGAGAAGAAAAGTTCCAATTTACAATTTATGTTCTTTATATATATACGTATATATAGCATTGTTTTTAAAAGAGCAAGCAAGAACAATCCTTTCAAATTGTAATCAAAGATAGTCACGCAATTCCGTACTGGAGAAAAGGCACCTCAATTTCACCATTTTATTATTCAAGTAGTCGTGGTGGCCCAAAGGTTAAAACTCCCTCTTCTAATGCATGGTATTCAGATGTGTGAAAACTTGGACTAATCAAAGTCATATGTTCCAACTAAACCATAAATAGGTAGGTACTTTTGAAACGTCATTTAGAATAGTAGTATGTCAGTCTGTGCGTCAGTGAAGCTAGGTAGATAGCTCAGGATAGATAGTTTCTAATTATAAGTTTTGCTCTTTTTGTTATTGATTTATTATATTAACAGTAAATACAGGATTATCACTTAAAACTAAAATAGCAACCAGAAACCACTAAGGTTTAAAATTTGCTATCATGAATCTATCTTAAAATTGAGACTAACCTTCTCCGTGTAAAAAGAGGTCTTTGCTCAGCACAGGGCACTTATAGAATGATTACGTATGCATAAATAAAGCAAAAAACGGTGTTTTTCTTCTTTCTTTTTTTAAAAACGTTGCCCCACATTCGGATTTTCTCCTGTGTCGTAGGTGCTGTTACAAACATACAATTTCACATATATAAGACACCCAGACCCGGAACAACAATTTGTGGATCACACAAAGAGTTGTTCCGGGCGGGAATCGAACCCGCGACACTTTGCACGGCAGCCAGTTTCCCAGCCACCGCACCAACTGTGCAGTCGTTGTTACTCATTAAGAAAAAACCTATCTAATGAAATATACTTATTGCGTGACAAAATTTACGTATTTATAACACTTTATAGGGAATTAGACGGAAAGGGTTCAATTAAGGGCTTAAAGACAAGCTATTATTTTTATAGGAGGGTGGAGATACATAATAACTTTTTTAAATTAACTATCATAATTTTCATTCTTTCCATGAATACGCGGCTTAATTTTCCTGATAAATCAAATAAAATAATTTTGGTTAGATTATATATTATAAACTCTAACTTATCTATCAAGGAACTGGATCTCTCAGCTCCACAGCATGTCACTGAGCTGAGTCTTGAACCGGTTCGGCCTTGGATATAGGCCACCTCCAGAATTCTCTTTCCCTGTCCTATGTGTACGTCTTCCCACTCATTCCATCTAAATAAAATTATTCACACGTCGTTTGCCTAAACGTTATTATTAATACAATTATAATATGAAATGTAAAAAACCTTAATTGATTAAAATTCCATTTTCGTCGACAAAGACTCGATTATCCATTAAACCAACAAAGAGAGAATGCTATAAATTTAGCTATAATCCGTCTGGATGCAGTTGAGTGGGGGAACTAATGGCCTGACTAAAACACAGCGAAAGTTTTAAATTAGTAGCGAATCGTGAAGTTATCGAGCGTAAAATTGACGTGCCTAAGGGAAAAAGGGGGTCGAACTGCGTATTTTATGCTGTGGCGATCTTATGGTGTTTGTTATTTGCATAATATGTCCCTATAACCAAAGCTATAATGGTGAATTTAAAGTTACTTTCAAAAAACTATCTTAATCGTCAGTTATTTTGTTTTTTTATTTATCCTTAAATCTTTTATAAACCAGAAGAGACCGGCAACGCACTTGTAGTTACTTCTTTGTATTACGAAAGAAATATTTTCTGACTAGCTACTCTCGCGCGGTTTCCTCTGCCTAGCTCCATTTGATCGTAGCGTGATGTTTTATAACCTATAGCACCCGCGAATATTGTACCTGTCTATCAGTGAAAGAATTTTGGCAATCCGACCAGCGGCTCCAAAGATTACCCCCTACATACTAACTTACAAACATACAAACATACAAACTTACACACTTACAAACTTACAAATTTTACCTCTTTATAATATTAGTATAGATAGCGTTATAATTCTTCTTTTCCCATCCGTTAAAAAGCTTCTGTCCAGAGGACCAAGAAGTTTCCTACACAAAGAAATTAAAATAAAACCTCTTCATAATGTATGTAAAAGAACTAAATATAATTGAACTAAAAGAACTATAAAACAACAGTTAAACAGCTTGTATAAACCCTAGCTTCTTATATAATATCAGTTCCCATCGCTTCAGCTTTGCAATGGGCGCGTCATTGTCAACCTTCCTACTCTTCTTGTATTTCCTGAAGAAGTCTGCATCGACCTGAGAAAAAATATATAATAAAAACATGTTTATTTTCTTTACTTGTCTAGTACTAAAATAACCTCTTACTGTTTGTGATATGATAAACAAATCGACAGAAGTGTTCTCTCGTTACATCCAAGTGTCTTCACACTTCAGCACGAATAGATCGGCTCGACCGGAGTGATACCACAACCTCACAGAAAACTGGCGTGAAACAACCACAGCGTTGTGTTACGCCGTGTGGCCCCAACCCTCCTACTCCCCCCATCCCTTCCAAATCCCTAAATATCTGAAACCCTTATATCTAAAAGGCCGGCAACCCACTCGTAAGTCGTTTGGTTAGATGTTGGATGTTGTTCAGTTTCAAATCATTCTTATAAACATTATCAGTATTCTCTAGTTACGTTACAAGTCCTATATCTCCCGGAACATATGACAATTCCGAAAGTCAATGTCAACTTAAGTTGCCATAGAGCTTAGACTTAGCAGCCTTTTACAAACATTGAAATGATTACCATCCTAATTCAACATAAATGAGACATACGTAGTATCTTAATTAGTTAATTATTTTCTAGTTGAATTAAATTAGGATAATATTATAGTCATGTCAAAGTATGAACTACCAGCCGGGGTCGCGGTGTAAGCACAATGAAGCACCGCGACCTCGGCCCAGAGCAGGAGAAGGAACGGGGGTGTTTCTAGTCAGTAAGAGTCTGACACTCCCTTCCGCCCGACCCTGGGCGGTAGAAGTCATTTGACGATTTTCCCCTCACAAAAAAAAGTATGAACTACACTTTTGCCAAGCTAAGGAATTCGCACCAACTTTTTTAGGTTAGATTGTTCTGTGGGACCACGAATTTCCACTCTTAAAACCCACCTTGACTCTTTGATCAACATTATCCCTGGTTCCTGCGACAGCATCGACAATGGGCTCACTCCTGTTTCTCGACCTCGGGTAGAACAGCCACCGCTTGGATCCTAAACCATCGCTCTTAAGAATCTCCTCGATACGGTCGTGGCGCTTTCTCGTCGCCAAGAATTTTGATGGGTTCTTTCGGCTCCTGCTTGCTAAAAAAGGAATAGACAGCTAATATACGAATCGCTTTATATACAATTTTAAATGATATACTATTATTCTCACTAGTCTCTATACAAGCCTCTTGTAAACAAGGACAGTGCTTGTTTCGGGATTGATCGATTGAATGACCAGGAAAAGAAACCCTATCAGCTGATTTCTTGTTTAAAAATCAGCTTACAATGAGGGTTATCGTTTTTTTGCTTACCAGATGTGGTTCAGAGGTTCAGATGCCTATAACTGTAAAAAACTACATCTATGGTGCGCCAAAAATCTTATTCCTTATCATCATAAAAAGACAAGAAGTCCACAATAAGTGGTAATAGCTAGTGAGCAAAGAATAAAAAAACAATAGCAGGCGAACGAGTCGACAGATCACCTGCTAGCACGTAAACAGCGCACCCAGGGACACCTGAGAAACCGTAGGTACGTTAAAAGTGCGCTGTTGGCCTTTCATTAAGGATTACTTATCTGACCTTGAACCTTGACCGCGAATTACAAACACATAAATAAAGTAAATTAAAATTATAACAGTCTGCTATAAAAAACAACGTCTCTTTTCATGTGTTTCTTGCAAAAAGTGTGGGTCGTGATTACATAACCTTACATTCAATTGAAGCTATACAACAGCTTTGTTTATTATTAGGAAAAGGCGGAAGTCTTTCAATTCAAACAACTGACGTTATTCTACAAAAGCTACATATATATTCTACGAATTGGGCCTTTCGTACGTGGAAGCCAGATATTGTACATAAATTATATCACAAATACCGATGACCTTGAACATTGGTTTCTTCGGTAGAATGAAATCTATCTATCAAACATTCGGTAAATAATTTTACTTTGTTAAAAATATCCTGGTTCCAAGGACAAAATATTACAAAAAATACTCTATTATCCCTGATTATTTTTTTCCAAACAATCTTTAATGGCCTTCTAAAGCTTATCGTCGCCTAGTATGGTTGATAACAAACAATAGGCTTGACCTCTTTAACTTATATGTTGAAAAATATATGCAAAATGATTCAATAAAATTGTAACATACATTTCACAGTGTTTAAAACTTACGGGTCAAATATAAAACTCTAAAGGCATCTAGAAACCCTGGCTCCTTGTAGTTCAGCTCACGGTTACGTGTGCCAGATTGTGAGCGGCTGCGACTTCGTGATCGTGTGCGGGATCGGGATCGGGACCTAGATTTAGATCGGGATCGCGACCTGGACCGAGATCTTGACTTTGACCGCGTTCTGGAATGAGATCTGGATCTTGAACGAGATCTTCTTGCACTGCCACTTCGAGATCTTGAATGTTTGGACTCCCTCGTTTTACGTTTTCGTTGTTTCAATCGACTATGTCTGAAAAAGTGTTTAAATAGTTTTAATTATCATGATTATCAACAGTCCGTTGCTGTTTAAACGTTGGAAATAATTTTCTTTAGGCTTATGCCCAATCTTCAGCCTGGGAAACAAAAATGCTACGCTGGTACCGTACCGTGAAGATATAGAAACTCTAAGCCCAAATAATTCCATAGATATACTTTCATGGTCTACGTAGAATTAGTTTTATAAAAAAGTAAAATAAATAAAAACGTGTATGCTATTTTAGTCTTTCGAATAACTGTCTTTTTTCCTTAATGAAAGTTTTCGTCGTTTACTTACAGAATGTAATTCTGATAGTACTACTCCCTATAGAGAAGGATTAAATATAAAAAAACATCTTATTAATGATCCACTTTATCATTCATCTTACCTCCCTTTATCCCGACCATCATTCAAAGCAGGTTGTCCATAATAGTCACCGAAACCATCTCCATGATCAGGGTATTCTTCAGGCGGTCGCATCGATGGAAACGGTGGTGGATAGGGGTAACCATAACTATCCATCAATCACCAATCAATCTACGAATCTCAAATACAATGTCCAAAAAAATTATCACAAATAATTTTCGTATCAATATTCATTTCGATATGTGTCACTGTCAATTTTTGTCTTTTTATGTTTTTTTTTTCGGGTTCTCTGTGTTTTTGATGAAGGTTGCTGCTTTCACATTTTCGAAGTTCAGTCGAAGAAGAGAAACTTTAAAATATTGTACAACAACCTTACAAGTTGAATTCAAAACTTTTTGCTTTTATCATTTCATTATCTATACTAATTTAATAAAGAGGTATTGTAAGTTTTTATTTAAGGGGTAATCTTTGGAACCGCTGGTCGGATTGCCGTAATTCTTTCACTGATGGATAGCTACGATGTCCCTGAGTGCTAGGCTATAAAAATCACGCTACGATGAAATGGAGCTGAGCAGCGGTTAAAACCGCGCGAGAGTAGTTATTTATACAAGGGTTTTGTTATCATAAAAGACATATTTTACGTTACGATCTCCGGCCAAGCGTGGATATGAGGACGGCGAGTTTAGCTCACCACCCGACCAGAACCAGACCCGAGTGTACAGCGCCTACCATATTGCGTGCGCCTCAAAGAGCCAATTGTAAACCATAGATTTGGAAGATGTTCAGCCTGGGTTGCGGAACAAGAGCAATTTGGTGCAGCAGCCTCGACCTTGATCATGAGAAGGAGAGAGGGGTGGGTTTGAGTCAGTAAGAGTCTGCCAAGATGGCGAGAAAAATCATTTGATGAGCATATTATTTGTGATAAGTGATTTAGCTACAAAAACAATATCATTTTTGTAGCTGTCTTTTGGAACCCCTTTGGAACGCAGGCTTGCAATATAACCCTTTTAGATAGTCAAATCACAATCCCTCTTTCTAAAACAAACTTTTGACTCAAAAAGTCATTAAGGCACAACCATTCATTAATGCGATAATCTTTGAAAAAATTTCAAAGGCATTATTATTATCGAGAATACTTACTTACGACATTTTGCGAGTTTCGAATCGATTGTAATCGAGTAAAAAGTTGGAGAGTAACTTATCGATTTCGACAGAAAGAACAATTAAAGAAGTAAGATAAATTAGGAATCGATGAATGCTTAATGGTTCCCTCCATTAGAGGGTTTTGAGTTGGAGCGGGATTTTTTAAGAAAAAAAATTAACTACTCCCCTACAAAGTTTGAGGGAGAACACGGATCTAAAGAAAACAGAAGTGCCGTAATGACCAAAGAGATTTGTTCTTAGAGTTATTATGAGGCGACGGCAGTCACTACAGTAACTTATAACAATTTGTTAAGATACTAAATAGGTACTCCAGGTTTTAGTTTATTAACTACACAAGCATGTGACTATAGATTTATTATAATAAGATGTATAATCAAATTCTTTGGTCTATTAAATCATCAATTAGATCTATACCTAAAGATATGTAGATAACAATATAAATTAATATTGGTAGTTACATTAAGTTTAAAAACAAAACGCGTACAGCGTAAACGGTGTAACCGAATCCGCAACTAAACAAAAATTAAATTTCTTAATCGTATAAAAATATTAAATGTTATGGCATTTAACATAATTATAGCTATAGGCAAACGAAATGTACGCTATGTGAATATTGATAAAAAATACTTCGATATGTCTAATAGCTTTTCTGTAAACTAGGTATGAGAATAAAAAACGTTACCCCACTTTAGGAGTTTCCCTTGTATCGTGGGTGCGTTTACAAACATACAATTTCACATACATATCACACGCAGATTAGAAACAACAATTTGTGGATCACACAGAGTGTCGTGCGGGAATCGAACCCGCGATACGTTGCACAGCAGCCAGTTGCCCAGCCACCTTGCCAATGGTGCCAAGTCAGCTCCTTGAACAAGTTTTTATTTGTCTCAATTTAAACTTGTTCAAGGTACCACTTCGTGCACTGTAACTCCGTGTACCAGGGAAGGTAGTACACTGTTCTTTAACTCGACTGCTACAGCCGCGGTTTATTCTTCACTTACTTTTTAATATTCCCCAAGTTTTCTGCTCATTTAGATTTTATACTAAAGTGTACTTTGTTATAACCGGCCAACAGCCTCCAGTTGGTTTTAAACTACGTCCAATAAGTGCAATTTATTTTTCATGAATTCGCCTGCAATATTGTCCAAGTTATCGGAAGGGTTTGTAAAGTTTTGTGGTGGAATTTTATGTTGTTTCTCTGCTTGTTTTTAATATAATGTTGCTGTTGTTTTAAGTATACTTAGACTATTACTATATCTTTCGCTTTTTTTTGTGATCGGAAAATCATCTAATGTCTTCTCCCGCCCAGTGGCGGGCAGGAGGGAGTAACAGACTCTTACTGACTAACCCCCCCCCGTTCCTTCTCCCGCTCTGGGCCGAGGTCGCGGTGCCTCATTGCGCTTACCCCGCAATCCATCGGCATACCTTAGGTGTACGCTGACATAGCTGTTTCGCGCAATACTGCTCATGAGTGTGAGGGCCTAACCTCATTTGAAATTGTGAGGTTGTCAGATTCTCAATGACTAAATTATTCCCATTCCTTCTCCTGTTTCAGGTCGAGTCTGAGACCACCACAGGTGTCGACTCTTTGAGGCTCGTGCGGAACGTTACGCTCGGGCATAAGAAGGAACGGGGGCGGTCGGAATCTGGTCGAGCAACGAGCTACCCTTGTTAGCCGTCCACAGACCTTTTTGTGAGGTTGGGGGCGAAGCCACTGGCAGAAACAAGTTTCAATAATAATGTACCTACTAATATTAATTAATGATAACTAATGTGTGAAAAATATGACTATAATTATAATGGTATTTGTTTGACCGATTACCGGTGAAAAATTATATTTCATCGAAACATTATTAATCCTTTCAATTCTTTTTAGTATTGCAAATTACGTAATAATGTTCTAGCATTATCTTTGAGTAAATTTTTCATTCCATCCGCTGGACATAATCCATTACTCACCTTTTAGAAAACCCACGGGAAGGGTTTTCTTATCATAGCCGTGGTCCTAATGGCTTGAATCTCGTTAATTAATTAATTTACTAATGACTAACCTTCTTTATTCTATTTAGATACCATCAAGCCTATGTTTGCCTAAAGGTCTGAGTTTTAGATGGCCCAGTTGTTACTTGATTGACTGTTTAACATAACGTACTAAGATCATTCGAGGAGTCAGGTGGTATTCCGTCGAGAGATGATCTCCGGCCACCGTAAGCGCGGGTCTGCGGACGGCGAGTAGGGGTCGCCGCCCGACTACAACCAGGCCCGAGCGACGGCGCATAGCGTTCGGGAGCAATGAGTCACCGCGGCCTCGATCCAGAGCAGGAGAAGGAACGGGGGGGTTTTTAGTCAGAAAGAGTCTGACACTGTCTCTCGCCTGACCCTGGGCGGGAGAAGTCATTTGATGATTTTCCCCTGACAAAAAAATGTGGTATTCCGTCCAACCGGGGTGCAGATCATCATCATCATCATCATCAATCAGCCTGTTTTCGTCCACTGCTGTACATAGGCGCCCCCAATTGCACGCCGCTGAGCTCGATGTTCAGCTCTTTTCATCCAACCACAGGGTCGGAGACACAAGCGTAATAATATACCGCGGCCTTGAACCGTAGCAGGAGAAGGAACGGACTGGTTTTAGTTAATAACAATCTGACACACCACTCGAGCAGGAGAAGGCATTTAATGAGTTCTCGAAGTTCCGAAAGTAAAGAGTTGTTTGGACAATAAATATCTTAAACACACACAATAACAAAAAATTATGAAAAAATACGTCGCGGTAGCTGTCAGGCGCCTGCAACCAGGGAGTTTGAGCAACTATGGTGATTATACAACCTACAAACCTTCTTCGTGTGAGAAGAGGTATGATGAAGAAGAAGAGGTGTGATAATTATTAATATGAACTGGGTTCCGCAAGTAGCTTTTCCCGCGCAGTCTATACTAATATTATAAAGAGGTAAAATTTATAAGTTTGTTTGCTACAAGCAAACAAACTTATAAATTTGGTTTGGTTAGGTTGTATGTAGGGGGTGATCTTTGGAACCGCTGGTCGGATTGCCAAAATTCTTTCACTAGCTGCAATGTTCCTGAGTGCTATAGGCTTAAACAAATCACGCTAAAATTAAATGGAGCCGAGCAGCGGGTGAAACCTCGCGAGAGTAGCTAGTGTGTTAATAAAAAGCAGCCTCCCAGGATATCAACTATCTACATACCAAAAAATGTGAAGTAATAGAAAACAAAGCATACATCTATATAATCTTACTTTCATATTTATAATATTAGTAGGATGAATATGTACAAACATAAATAAAAATTGATCCCGTAATGAAAAACTGATTTGAATTTAATACACGAACTGAAACTTTCAGCACTCGTTCCAACCTGATTTCAGTAACAGTTTAAATGAAACGTGAAACCTGTAAATGCATGTAAAATGTACTGAAAAAAAATTAAAAAGTAAATAAATAAGCGAAATTTCAGCGTCACTCATTCGGATGGAGTCAAAGCTTGGAAGTTTGTTTTTTTTTTTTTGGAGTGCTAGCAGGGAAAAAATTTGCAAATCGTACTAATTAACTGAAAATAGTAAAAGTAAAGGTAGGTAACCTACTTTAAAAGTAGTTAGGGTTACATGTTGTGAGTTTTAACTTTGAAGTACTTTGATTTTTCCTATTTCATCGAATGGTTGGAGGTTGGCAGAGTAAAATGGAAAATATAGACGCGAACGAACAGCTAGATGATATTATGCAATCAACGCCTATGGACTCCCACAATACCAGAAAACTTACGAGGGCGTTGCTGGAATTTTGGGAGTTGCGGATTTTTTGGTTCTATTTTTGTAATGAGCACGAATTATTGTATAACTTACCTAACATTTATTAACACTGCAATCTAATAGCAAAGACATCAATAAATTCATAAGGTTCAAGATATTTTTTACTATTTAAATCGAATATAAAATTATACTTTATATATTATTATTATAAGAATTTCTTCAA